CCCCAAAACCCCAAAACCCCAAAACCCCAAAACCCCAAAACCCCTGAATTCATTAATAGTTAAAAGCTGATGAAAATAAGAATTTATTTTTGATTTAGCAATGTACTTTAACATAAATTTATAAGAGTCACTTATATCCTCAAGTATCTCTTCCAAAGAAGAAGTAAGTAAGATTGATAAAGTTAATTTCTGGCTAGCTTGATAAATACCGGTATATTGGAGATAAGCATGAAATTTAACTTGTGGCAAACATTAATCATCCTACTTTGCAGAAAAGAGTTATTGTTTCGGTTTCTCCACAGTCAACGATCTCATATTTAAAGAACAAGATTGGTGAAACTTTTGATAGATTTGATACTTTCAAAGGTTTAAGATAGCTAAGAGCTAAAACTATTTATAAGGTTTTCAAAGAAAAGTAGTCTAACTTATGATGAGAGCAATCTCGCAAAGAAGATTAAAAGTCATAGAAGTTTGTTCCTCAACAGTAATAATAAGCCAATTTGTTGATTCACTAACCAAGCATCGATGATTGATCATTATTAAACCTTAGTCGAACCACCTCAAATATGGCTTAATGGTAATTACCTTTAGTTAAGAGTACCTCATTTATGTAAGCAACAAAAATCCCAGTTGTTATAAGAGTAGACGATGACTTTTATGATGAAAATACTTAAACTGTGGGCGAATTGCTTTCTGATGGAGATGAATTAGTGGTTGATTTATACTCAGCTGATATTTGGATCACAGTAAAAACTGAGGCTGAAATCATTGACTCTGAAATTGAGTAGGAGATGGAACCTCAAAAAATTAACATTGAATTCTAGATCAAAGTTCAAAGGTAATGGACAAACTCTCATCTTGCAAAAATTATCCAGAAATTCTTATACAAATCACTAGATACCTAATTGCAAAATCAATAATAGATATATGTGATGACTAGTATTGAATTTAGCATAAAATAACCACAAAACTTGCAACAGTCTAAAGTTTAGAGACAAGATAGCTACGATTTCGAGTAGAAATAATCAAGCAACAAAGATAATGCAAATCTAAATGATTAGCAGCCACTTGAAGAAAATAATTTTGTTGATAATGATTTTGATTTCGACTCGATATTGAAAGTTAAGATCTGGATTAAGGAAATTAAGAATGCAATTAAGGATTACAAGGTTGAACGCCATGATCATAGCTAGGTTAAGATAGACCCTGATCACTCCTACTTTAATTTTGAGAAAGATAGCAGTCCTTAAAAGGACTAGGAGATGCAATGTGAAAAATAAAATAAAGACAGCTTCAGCAAGGATAGAATAAATATGACAATGGTCTAAGCTTAAGAAACCTTAGGCAATCAAAGAAGATTTTCTAAAATAAAGTCACTTTTCGAATAATTTATTGTTCATAAATTCAGGAAGAACACAACTATTAATGAATCTGACTTTGAAGTCAGGAGAAATCAATAACTGAATACTTCTAGCATAGGAATTAGACCGAATACGTCACTAGATCAGAATAACCTTCAGAATCAGTCAAGGAACAGAATCGGAAGTATAACTCAAGTAAATTCTATATTTGTTCACAAATCTCATGAGACTCTATTAAGATAGAGAGGAGAACCAAAACTTATTCATGAAATCTATGGAGTATTTTTAGTACGCGACTAAAAGCAAGATAACAATAAGGTTTTAGACTAGATTGCAATTGAGAATGTTGATGATTAATATATATCATGTGAAAGTTCTCTTACACTATCCTCTCCTTCAGAGGAAGAGGAAGAAAAATAATAAGAGCTTAAGATTGATTTCCAGTTAGATGAGAGTAGTGATATTCTTTTTGATCCAAATAAGAGTAGAGCTCTGATACATTAGTATAAAACTATTACAAGTAACAATGGATTCAAATAGCACAAAGAACTGAAAAAATATTAATCCCAACAATTTAATCTGGGAGCGAGAAGAAAATCTAGAGTAATACAGAGATTTGAGCCGAATAATATAAACATCAATATAGTTAATGCTGTTGAATTAGACGCAAATGTCCTTACTCTTTATGAGATGGAGCACTTGCTATTGCCATAAATCAGGAATTTAGCTGTAAAAAAATAGTTCGGAGAAGGAGATGAAACTTTGAAACTAAATGATCTCAATTCTGATTTGCTAAGCTCGTCTTACTATCACAAAGGCATCTGCAAAAGACTTAAGGCTTTTGCTCACTCTTGCTTAAATTACAAAAATGACATAGACACTCTTGATTAAAATTTCACTCGTCAAATAAATTACAAGAGAGAAGACGTTTTGAAATTTATAGGCATGCTTAGACATAGCGATCAATAAAAGTATGCTATGATAAGAAATTAGATTATTAGAAATCACTTATACGAGCATGAAAATAATTCCAACCAAACTGATCAGAACATTGTATTTGATGAGAATCTAATGAATGCTATGAACTTGATAGAGGTTTAATTAAATCAAGAAAGATTAGAAATGCTCAAAACTCTCGTAATATTTATAATTTCAATATTTGCTATGGCAGCCTTTGGACTGAAACTATGATTGGTTACTTAATTTTAATATTTACTTTACTTCCCTTAGTGTTATAATTATTTCATGGGGTTTTGGGGTTTTGGGG